CTTCAGCTTTACTTCCTGCTAAACACCTTCCTATCCATACAAACCCTAAAATCCACCCAAATCAAATGCCTACACTGTCAAAAACACACCATGTGTTCCACCCTCCATGCTTTTGCTTGAGAAGTTTCCTAGTACTCAGTGCTCACTCCTTTCTTCCTTCCTCTGCTCACTCTGCCGGATGTAAATGTGATGACTCTTTGAAGCTTTTATTCAAGTCGCACCTCTTCCATACCAGTTTTCCTAAACCTTGGAAGCGGTGACCTTCCTCTTCCACGCCCCGTGGCACCATACATGCATATTCACCACAAGTCCTCTTCTAGATTGTAAGCCCTTTAACAGGCACTGCATCTCATTCACCTTTTAACCTCCGACACCCAGCACCACCTGGTACACTGCTTAAATTCACTGAACATGTATTTAATGAATTAATAGGAGCCACTGCTCCTGTGGCTAGGGATAGTCCTTCATGCTTCCCAGAAGTTCTGTAGTACAATGTCTTATATTCTCCACATCACCTAGAATAGCATAGTACTTCACATGTTCTAGAGAGTAAATATATAATCAGTGAAAGAATAATGTTTTACTGCCAAAGCCTGAGCAAGTCTCTACACATGTATGCACGTGTGCACATGTGCACATGTGTGTGTGTGTGAGAGAGAGAGAGAGACAGAGACAGACAGAAAGACAGACTAAGAGATGGAGAAGACCTCTATTCCCCTGCTGGCACAGTGATAGGGCTCTGTTCTTGGTGTCCCAAGAAGAATATCTTTTATCTTGAAAACAATGCTAAAAATAGTGATTAGATTGCAAAATTCCTTTATTTTCAGCTTTCTGGGTCACACTGCTATCGAGTTAGATTATGGGCTATAAATTACATAATTCAGCTAAATTAAGGTCAATATTGGTATTCTGGATATCCCGGGAATCTCACTATTTGTGGTGGATACTGTGATGTCCCATCCAGATACTCTTTCAAGAATGAAGGACATTCCTCCAGTTGCTGGGAGCACCTTAGCAGAAAGCCCTGAGTTGTCAACACTATTTGGGAATTTTCTCAGCTGAAAAAAAACCTGCCTCATTTAAAGCCATGCCTCCTTCCAGGGGCAGGCTCATATCTAATGACTCTTCATCATGAGGGTAGAAAGGGCCTGCCCGACCTGGTATCAACTTGGGACAACCCTGAAAGGCCCACTCAGCAGCAAAGCCCCTCGGCAGGCAGGTCGGCTGGGGCCTTTTTTTTTTCAAACAATGTCCAAGGCCCCAGCTAAACAAATATCCCTGCCAACTCTACATAGTTCTTCCCTGCCTTCCTGTTCTCAAGCCTTTGCTCATATTATTCTCTAAACCGAGAATGTTATACAATGTTCTTCCCTCCATCTTTGGAAGTCCAAGCTCTACCAGTCCTTTGAGACCTAACTTCCATGTTGCTTGCTCTGTAATGTTTCTCCTGATCTACTTATTAACACTCTTCCCTTCTCTTTTGAATTCCTGTAGCATTTCTTGTAGCTCTTGCTTACAGCACTTGTTATTTTATTCTCTGCTCTTTGGGTACGAAACCAGGCCCCAATATTGAAATCGAGCTGCCATGGCCAGAGAGCATTCCTCAGTTCACCTCAGCCCCCCCTCAACAAGTTCCCAGTCCCTTCCGTGAGTATATGGAGGATTCAAAAAATTCTCCCTGAGTGAGTAAGAGAAAGAATCTGGAGCCTCCAGGCTGTGGCTTTGGCTTTCAGTTCACCTTTTAAAATGCCAATGACATCACCTGTGATGAGTGGGTTCCATCAGCATCTCAAACGGTTAAAGGATGTGGTGAGTCATTGAGGCTTTTGAATACTGACTGGTTCCAGGTGATTATTTGGAAAGTGCAGTCAGAGAACTAAAATAGAAAAGAAAAACCTCCACAACAAAACAACAACAACAAACCTCAAACTATAAAATTCTTGGTGTTTTAAAGAGAACAATATTCATATTCATGACTCTTTGTGAACCATGGAGCTGAACAATCCCTCTCGTTATTCCTGTGAAACTAAACAGACATGTAATCTCCAAAACAGTGACAAGACCCTGAGGCTCCTAATCTCCCTCGGTCTTGGTGGGTGGCTCTTGCAATGATGGTGGGGGACACCCTGGTGATCCATGAACTGGGTTTCATTTTCTTTTAACATAATAAACTTGAAACGAATCATTTTCAGCGTAAAGAGGGGATGAATGGAAGAAGCGGGAGAGTTATCGAAGGGGGGACAGTTTCACAACAGTCTCTGAGTGGAAGATGGTCAAATTAACTTGCTTTCTGCATTAAAACAGGGATGGTTAATTGAATTTGACAACACCTACATAAGGCAGTAATACCTCCAAACAACATGCTTCTTAATTTTTTGTATTTGGTTTGGTTTACGTCAGCCTCTTGTATATAAAATAGCGCATGAATAAAAGCCTAATCAGCTCCTAGGATCTTAAACACTGCGACACACTCTCCCATTACCTGTTGCTTTGCAGCACTGGTTCAGCCACAGCAATTTTCATCCCATCTGTAGTTTTGCCAAAAAATAAAACCAGTCCCCCGCCAACCCCTCCTCTAAATGGTTAGATCATTATCAATCCATTTGTGAGCCTATTTCTATTTAAACTCATTACTGGAACTATATTCAAGGACAGTTAAAACAACTCAACCACCCTTTCAACTATAAGGCTTTTCTCCAAAACTCTTTTACCTCATTTGTACTTGGACTTTGCAAACAATTTCCAGTATTTTTTCAGTGATTTTCTATTCAAGTGAACTTAATTCATCCTCTAAACAAAACCATAGTCTGTCTTGATAGCAATATCAAGCGGAAGAGTTACTGAAAAAGTTGAGTATAATGATGAGTTAGGAGAGAGGTTATGAGATGCTGTGGGGAAGAAGAATTATGAGACGGGAGAAGGTGTGGGCAAGAAAAAATAGAAATAGAAAAGGTCTGGCATCTATAATGGCTGGACAGTTATATCTGAGGCCATTTCTGCACAGATACAATGGTGTGTGTCTTTGGAAAAGGCCAGGTAACAGTATTCCTTCCATTAAGAGCATGGCGTTCTAACATGGGAACTGACTGTGACCTTCCATTTCAGAAGACACACCAATGCTGTGTTCTCTGTAGCCAATAATGCCAATTGTTGCCAGGCCAGGGGAGGCACCATTCCTCCCCTTCATAAAGAGCATCACCAGCTACCCAGGGACGCAGGGACCAATTCTCACCCTTACCCCTCATCTCCATTTAGTCACGAAGCCCTGTTCACATTACTGCCTAGAATGTTTCTGATCCCCCTGCCTCTCTCCGGTCATCCCCATCCTCTGACCTGCACTATTGGACACAGTGGTCTCCCAGAAGGTCATCCAGTCTTGTCCTCTGTCTGTCTGTTCTGCACATGTCACTCCACCTGTCTTCCCAGCCACTGTCTCCCCAGATCCCACCATACCTGGCTTTTGCACTTTGTAAAATGCTCCTTTCCACTACAAAGGCCTTGAAAGCTATTCAAGTGATTCCTTCTGCTTGTAATGTTCCTTCCAGCCACATCTCCTCCCCCAGGCCCCTTCCGGATCTCTCTGGTTTTAACTTAAGGTAGAGTTTCCCTGGTTTGTGTTCCCTCAGTCACATAGAGGTGAACTTCTGTAATTAATTGTTCAAGGCTCTTTTCTCTGTCTATCTGTAAGTGCTTTCAGGTCAAGGGCTGTGTTTATCAAGAACATATAGAATAAGAATTAGATGAGTTCATTCAAGTAGCAAACTTTAAATGGTACCTGGTGTATATGAGGACTGTGTAAGCTTTAGCCATAGGAATAGTAGTTGGCACAGTACCTAGAACAAAATGTGTACTCAATACATGTATGTTGAATGAATAAAGGAATGAAAAAAATGATGGTTAAACTAATGAATTCACCAATCCAGAGGGCCTCTTCTTTTTTTTTTTCCTCCAACTGGCTATTATCTATCAGAGACTATAGAAATGCTGTCTGGAAAATAATCACGGAGAGGAATGATTGCTTTTCCCTGTCTACTGCTTCCATGATAGATGGTAAAAAAAAATAGCATTTTTGTTTCCTGGCATTTTTTGAATTTATCCTACTGTGTTGCTAAAGAAATATTCACAGCAGGGAGACCTGGAATTAAGAGATAAAGGGATATAATACCAAAAACTATACTTCCAGGCTTCTCAATCTTGTCTTTAGTAACTAAAATGTGCGCTTCTTAATGAGAACAATACTTTTTTATTCTCAAGCTAAATCCTTTAGAAAACCTTGCACGTCAGGTTGTCCATCCCCACAAATGTTAATGCGGAAAAGGTCAACCTATATGGCCAAAAGGGAAGCTCTTCACCCCTTTGTTCTAGTTCATTCCATACTTCAGATTCCTCGGTGTCTTCAGCAGAAAGGCATCAGTCCCATAACTATATATCATGGTCTGCTGGGCTGATAGAGGAACGTGCACAGACTGACCTGGGCTTCCAGCACGGTTCTGGAGTTGTAGGGGTGGTGCTAACACACTTACCCAGAGCGACAGACGGGAAGGGTGCCTCTGAGATAGTTCCACCCTATCAAATCCTGTTATCTGACAAAACTGTGTTTTGTTTATTGTCCTTTAAGGCAAACTGGCATTTAAGAGATTTGATAGCTATAAAAATTAATTCTAACAAATACATGGCTAGAGCCTTTATCCTTGCACATGTAAAACTAAAGGATGCTACACTAAGTTCCATTATGGAGAATGAATTTTTCAAAAAAGTTTTTAGGTTGGATAAACTTTACTTGGGGTATTTTTGTTATTGCTGCTGTGGCTGCTTCTACTACAACTTCAAAACTTCAAGAAATGTTAGTAATATTAAAAACAGTAAGATTTATGATGATGAATGACAAAATTGCAACCATTTACATATTTATTTACTTTCTATATGGATATGTAATTTGATAGTCTATGTTTTCTACTTAATGTTATATAAATTTATGTGTATAAGTAAATATAACTGACCTGTTTTTCTGTGGAGCAAACTGGATCTGTACTGAATAACGCTCGAGTCCTGGGCCTGAGTGGGAGTTGAGAGTGGCAATGTCCTCAGACCTTCCGGGTTCCCAGGTGGGAAGGGTGAGCTCTGGGAGCGTCTTGGCTCACCTCTGTCCATGCTGGAGGAATGGAGAGCATCCTGAGCTTTCTTCTTCTCCTTCTTTAACATATTCACCAGAATATCTGAAACTTGACTTAAGGATTTAGTGACTTATGCTAGATTATATTGATCAAAATACTCATTGTCAAATGAGATTAACAGCCCCAATAATATGTGCTATGAAGAATGACTTCACTTTCCAAAAGTCATTGATACAGCTATGGACAGTTTAGGAGGCTACCGGTCTTTCAAGATGGCACCATTACCATTAGTTGAAAAACAAGCAAACCCAAAGGTCTTTAAAATCTTCTGAGTTTAAAGCAATCAGGACTTAAAGGTTTTATGAAAGGGTTTATAAAAAGGAAAATGAACACTGAGTAGTGGTAGACAACGGAGCTGTATCTACGTCTGTGAGTAAATGAGATTTTAAGCAGGATGCTGCTCAGGAGGCAGCAGGGGGAGTGGGGAGGGAGGACCCCTACCCAGCTGGGAGATCGGCCAAGTCAGTTTTGGTGGTCAGGGACCCCTGTGTCCAACACATGCTTATTTAGTGTACATTCCAATGGGGCTCAAAGTCACTTTTTAAAAAAGTCTCTAATTTTTGATCCCTCTAATTTCACTGAAGAGCACTGAATTATTAGGAAAGATACATCATTTAAAAATGCAACTTTTGTGGGCCATTTAGATATGTTAGGAGCACTGACAATGAGTGATAAAATCAATACATTCTACCCCACTTCACTGTTCTTTCAGGTTCAAGGTGCCAAGAACTCTGAGGGGTTTTGGCATCACGAAGAGAAAGGACTACAGTCCCTCCTGAGAAATCTCAGAACTCTAACTGCATATGCAGGAAGATGAGCTCAAGGTCTTCACCCTCCCTGGAGGTAGCTTCATTAAAACAGGAGTCCGAGGAAACACGAAGAGAAGACTGCTCTGCAAAAAGGAGGGGAGGCACCCAGGATGCTCACTCCTGGGCAGGGAGCAGGGAAAGCACTTGAACTCTGTCTTCCTCCTCAGCCTTGACCCCAGCCTCTTGGTAATTTCTGGAAGCACAATCAATTTTTCTCTCACAACCCTGAAATAGTCTCCATTCTTCACCTCAGAAAAGCTGGTAATTGCTAAAGGCATTGACGACTTCTGTGAGGTCTAGGCACCGGCCCTGTCCGCCTCCTCTGCTTGCTCCTCTTGGTGTGGAGCAGATGTCACAATCATCATCGACTGTCACTGGCTCAGGCCCTGCGATGGCAATGCCCTTTCCTTCACTTGGTCAACGATACTGACCTGAGCCCAGAGCAGCACAGCTCTCCAGGCACAGAGACAAAAGGTGAAAACGCAGACGGCTTTCTTGCCCTTGTGGAGTCAGTCCTACTGGAGAAAGACATAGCTGTCTCTGTCTCTCTCAGACACACACACACAACATTAGAGGGTAAAAGTGCCAGACTGCTTGTTTTTAAAAGGTCAAGAGTGACTGAGTGGCCACTCCAACTGGGTACTCAAGGAAGGCTTTTTTAAAAGTGCCATTTAAGCTGAGATCTGAATGACAGAAGAACCAGACAGAGGAGGGTATCTAAGCAGAGGAAGGGGTGGGTGCTGAAACTGAGGGAGAAATGGGCTGGTGGCGGATCCCAACTGGGGCTGTCTCACCACCCTCATTTGGCCATGTCTGGAGATATTCTGGTTGTTATTTTGGAGTAGGGGGTAGGTGCTGTTACTGGAGTCCAGTTGGTAGAGGAACATCCTGTGACACACAGGACAGTCCCTGACATCAGCAGGGCTGAGGCTGGGAACCCATGTGTTAGAAGGGCCACAGGAAGGTCGCTGTGACTGCCTCACACACACGGGGCAGAGGTGTAAGAGAAGGAGTCAGGGGCTGGGCGGGGACAGGACCACGTGGGGCCTAGTAATCTGGAGGAAGGAGTTTGAAGGTTACTCTCAGTACTGTGGGAAGCCCCTAGAAGGTTTCAATCAGAGAAACGGCCTGTTCTGACTTTACATTTCATGAAGCCCATGACACAGATTTATCTCCTCTGCTTCTCTCCTTCCTCTCACCTTCCCTTGGTCTTGTACCCCTTCCCACTTCCGTTTCACTCGGGCCTTCGTTCAGCACTGTGCTGGGGACAAAATGACATCCGGTGACCTGTTTTGTGATGGGGTGTCTGAGCTTGATTAAAACTGATAATGTCACCGAAATGACACCATTTTCACTCTCTTCCTAAGAACGTTCAGTGCCGCTTCCTGCTGTTTTGTTTGCAGTAGTGTCTTTTGTGGAGCTCAAGTATTACCACTTTTTATTACGAGCCTTATCTTTCTCATTCCTCCTGTCACCGTCTTGGCCTTCTTGGTTCCACCAAAAAAGACATGAAAAAATTCTCCAACTGGACTGTGAGAAATGATGGGATTTCAGGAGCCTTCCTTGATCATTAGCCCTTGATAAATGGAAACTTGTGATGAGGACATCTCAGATGCTGTTTTTCCTTCTTCCTAGTCTACCATTGTCCATGGGGTAGCATCTTCCGTCACATAACACTCCACACTGCTCGGAGCACCTTCCGTCCAGTCTGTCACCGGCTTTGCTGGGCACTGAGACTTCACTGAGCAGTGGCAGAGATAATGGATGAAGAGCTACCACGTCAACGTGGGTGTGAACTTGAAGTTCGGCACACTTTACACTATGCCTTCTACACACCCTCATTGCAAATGTGAGTCTCAGAAGGAGGGGACCCTACTGGAGTTATTCACAGTCAGTAAAGGATCCAGCATAGCCTCACAAGAATGGTGGTACCTGGATTTACCAATGCAGAGGGGAGATGATGTATGTCTCTGGTTCACTCCCTTTTTAAAATAAACATATATGAATAAGCTGAGGCTGCTCCCTCTCTGTCATGTGTCGTTTCATCCCTCCTATGTGCACAGACACTCATAAGCTCCGAAGGGGATTAAGGAGTTGGTCGGAGTATTTAGGGGAGAAGATTCTCAACTAGGATCAAGGCCAGGAAAAGAAGCAGAGCTCAGACTGGGTCTGGGGCCAGCGCTGAGGTCTCGGCTGGAACCACTGCTGGAGATGGACCGGGTAGGAGGGAGGAGAAGGAATGCAAGAGTGACAACACTGTGGGCAGCGTGCACAGACCAGGGCTTGCGTGGGAGTGTAATTCAGTCGAATCTACTGGGACTGGTCTGATAATAAAGCAATTCAAACTCACTTGAATCAGACACACGGCGTCTGCTAATCCTCAACTAAAATCAGAGACTGAAGTTAATCAGGCAGGGTGCCTACCTCATATTTGGTTTGGTTTTATCTCTTTATTACTGGATTTCCTTCAGGTCAGTTATTTTTATGCATTTTGCACAATAGCTGAAGCTAAAAATGCCTTTTAGTAATTTTTAAAAAATGAACCAAAATATTTGTTCATAAACAACTGACCAAAATAATTTCTTGTGCATGTTTAAAGCCTGCAAATGTAATGAAAATGTCAAATCTTTTGTAAGAAACTTGAAAGATAAAATAAGAAACAAACCTTTAATGGAAAAAAAATGAAAACGAATATATGTATATATATGCAAGACTGGGATATTATGCTGTACACCAGAAATTGACATATTGTAATTGACTATACTTCAATTAAAAAAGAAACAATACTGAAGAAATACTGGGGAGACTTGAGGTCTAACCACCCAATAGGGCTCTTCAGAAGTAACACCTAGTCTGTAAGAGAGGCCGCTCCCATGGGCTGCTACCGTTTTCAACACCCCATAGACACTGCCTCCTAGAGCCAGGAGAATTCTAGCCTGAACACTCATCTACACTCACTTCCAAATTTGGGAACATTTGTAAGTGGAGCCCAAAGCAGTAGATCTGGCTTTTAAATAGAGTCACATTTAAATCAATCTCTGCTCTTCATAAGCTAAATACCATTTGTCATTTCTCAGCCACCATTTGAGTTTCACCCACACTCCAGCCACAAATTCTGGGCCATGGTGAGGCTGTGGTCAGCCCGTGTCCGGTCAGCTAGCTAAAGATAACCAGCTAACTTACTGGCTCAGGACTAAAACAGAAAGAGCACTGAAGAGTAGTCAAAACATCTATTTAAAAAAATTCAGTGTTAAGAGATGGTGTAAGAAAGCCCATACTTTTCAATGAACTGAAATGTCCCCAGTAATAGTAACTATAAGTGACTAAAAGTGAAGTAGTTTTTTTTCTTTTGTAGCAACTCTGTTTTTTACTAGTTGCTACGATGTGTTTGCTGAAGGGATAGTTTCCTTCTAAACGGAAGCTGGGTGGGGAGCCAGGTGGTGTGGCAGGGAGCGTCAGGAAGATGTCTGAGTGTTTCCCGGGTCAAGTCAAGAGAAGAAGGGTTTCTAATCACTTTAGAAAGGATACTGATTTCATTATCTCTCTGCTGGAGAATCTCTCGTAGCTTCTTATATTCTTCCTCTGTGGATGGTCCTTGGTTGACTTGATCTTTGACTTTGGAGGAGGGGGCTCTGCTCGGTCCATGGATCTTCTTGTCGGTCAGTAGTTTCTGTGTGATGAAACAAGAGCTTAGCATCCACACCTCCACTCCAGTGTCTCCATTTCTTTGATTCTTTTCGCCTTTAACGATTCCTTGCACAAATCAGGCATGCGCACCCTGCTCTGACTCCCTGTCTTTGCAATGCAGCTGCCTTTGCTTGAATGTATGTCTTCCTCCTCCCACCTGTCTTCTTTCTGTCCTCCTTCCTCATTCCCCTCCTCCTTATCTTATCTCTCCTTCCCTAAAATGGGAAATCACTGCTCAAACATGACCTCCTCTTGAACTTCTTTCCCTTTCTCCACAACCCCATACCACTAATTCACACTTTTAAAAAACCACTTGTCGTGTATTAAAATTATTCTTTACGTATCTGTCTTCTCCATGACTTACTTATTCAACTTTGCCTCCCCTACACCTGGCTCAGAGCAGACTCACAACAAATGTTTATCATCTTAATAAAGCATGCCAAATTACAAGTGAGGTAGAAGTAGAGGTTAATGATACTCCCCCTACGTCACCATGAAAGTAAAACCTAAGGCTGAAGCTGCTGGGAAAAAAGATGAAGGACACAGTTCTTTTGATATAGCCTGAAAATAAATGGGTTTTGAACATGGAACTATTCTGTATAGAACGTAGAGATGCCTGGAAAAAGATTTAGAAGTCCAAGGTCTGAGCTTATTCTCTGGGAAGTAAGATACAACTTCTGAAGAAATTCAGCGATCATCTCAGCACTGGTTTGCAGATCAAACTTTTCTGGACACGTGAAGCTGGGTCCTAAACCTTTCAAGAGTTGGTCAACCAGGAAAACTTTATTGCAGTTTGAACATGGCAGATAATGGCTTCTACTAGTGGAAATATTTAAATTTACCTTTAAATAATGGAAACAGTGATGAATTTTACGCATATCAGCGCCAACCTCTAGTTTACTCTCTGGATCCTGGTCTTCCAAAAAGGATGTTATTAGTTTTTCCAGCCTAAAAAATACATAATGTATGAGAAGCAACTATGAGCTTGAAACTTTAGACATTCTAACAGAATTGCTTGGTTGGTTAACGTTTGAAGTATTGGTCACATTTCCTTACCATAATATAGTTATCTGATTTGACTCTAAACATTAAGGGGGAAGAAGCAAAATGACAAAGTGAGATCTGAAATGATACAATTATTTGACTAATTTCCAATAAATTTTCATATGCAACTTCCAAATACTTGACTTCTACAAAAATGCATTCTAGTCAAGCTGACTTTCAATGCCCCCGTGCCTAGCTGCACCATTGCTAGAGAATGTAATGAAAAAAATTTTTTTTTTACTAGTTTCATTAAAAATTCATGCTACTCAACCTAAGCCAGGACCTCAGTGATGCTCTAAATCCGTTTACTCATTCCTGGATGACATAGACTCTTCCCAGCGGCTGTTGCAATCCTTCTACAGCCCCCCAGCCTACCACTGCTCTTTCCCTCTCCATCAGTGATGCAGCTTCTCACCAGACGGAGAAGATCAAGGCTGCTATGAGGGGGCTCCTGTGTTTTCCTTTCCCTTCACCTCACAGTGTCTCTGTCTCACCACTCAGGCCTTTTTTGTTTCAAGTATTTTGGATAATATGCTTCCTCCTTCTCACTGCCCAACCTCTTCCCCAGGCTCTCTTCAGGCTCCTACTAGAGTTACCTGATTAATTACCTTTTTATCACCTCTCCATACTCTTTCCCTTCTGCTTACAATTATTTTCATGTTTTTCCTATTCCCAAACTAAGAAAAATAGAAAACAAACACCTCCCTTTGGAGGGAACATCCGGCTCCTCCATTCTGAAGTCCTGGTTCATTTTGTAGCATCATGTGTGCTTACACTGTCCACACTGTGTTCTAGAGTCTGCACACCACCTTAGCTCCCCCATTAGCTCCCCCAGCAGCATGAGGCAGCTTTTTGCTCTTATTCATCTTTGTGGTCCCTCTCCCCGACCCTGTATCTAGAGCATCAATAGAGAATCAATGGAAATTATTCCGTGTATGTTGAGATGAGACTCTTGATTAGAAAGGGGTGGCCACGAGTATCTACGATGCTAAATATCATGATACAACAGCAGTGTATATTTCTCACATTGTTATCAAAATATCTGCACACTTTCAGCATCATTTTAGACTGTACACATTTCCCCTCCACTATTACTATTAGCCCACTCAAATAAGATGTAATGATTTCCTCCATATAGCAGCTTTAGACTTTACTTTTATCTCTTCCTCTAATCTGTGACAGGTGACAGATGTATGAGACAATTTATATTGTCATTTTTAAGGAGCTTCTTCAGGTGGAGGGATACTTACTTGCACTGTTTGCTGAATGACCTAATGTTTCTTTGACACACAGAGAAATAAGTTTCTGATACAAAGATTTTTAAATGATTTTACATAAAATATTATACAATACACGCTTATGAAAAGAATTCCAAACAATACAGATGTGACTAAATTAAAAAGTAAACCCTCCTCTCTTCTCCTTCTCCTGCCACCATTCTCATCTGCTTTATTCACTCTCAGCACTTTGGGGAATCCACTGTTGATATGTTCCTCTAGCTTTTAACGAAGCAGATACCTATATTCTTATGTGCATTTGTAGATTTTGCTTATACAAAAATGAGAGAGATCATACTCTGAAGAGACTTCTGTACTATTATTTTTCAAAACAATTTATCACAAAAAAATCTTTCATGCCAGTACATATATAACAGAACAATTTCATTTTTGATGACTGTATAATATTCCATAGTGTGGGTGTACTAAACCTCTCCTGATGGACACTGAGACAACATACTCATAGCTGGTGTTTTCCTCTGTAACCCATGAGGAGGCTTGGCTCTACAACTGCTACTTAATGAGGCTTCAAAAATATTCATGTTTATCTGCTTGTACTTCCCCTGAATACTTAGCAGACATTCTGGAATTTTGAAAAATCACCACTGCTTCAACAAGGATATATCCATTCTCTGGAGTAAGAGCACTTTTTGGTTTCCAGTGTCCAAAAAATTTCAAACAGACAATATTAAGTTAGAAACAATGGTTAATCAATTCCTCTGTCTTCCTTTTCCTTTAGAAGATAATTTCTTTTGTATAGTTTTATCATAAAGTATATATTCTGGGAAGTATTACATGAAGGAGGGCTGAAGTGGACTCCTCATTCACAAGAAAGCATTGTAAGGTACAAGCCTGCTGATTAGCTGGGTGACCTCTCAGATCACTCAGTCTCACTGGGCTTTGGCCGTTTCATCAAGACTGTCATCCTGCACAATAACAGTATAGGACACAAGGAGGACCATGTACATGATCCAAAGAAATGGCGAGGAACTTCTGCTTAAATGAAGAACTGGATTGCTTTAACCCTCTGAGACTCGATTAGTGTGGTATAAAAGTAAGAATGAAGACCAGGCCTTTTCATGTGCCATTTTTCCTTAGGTGCTTGAGAAACAGAGCCTCTTTAGATAACAGAAGAAATGCCTGGTCCTTCCTCCATACATTAAATGATTTATTGTTGAATTTATTTTCTTATCAACCAAGGACTTGGGCTAATAATTAAAATGCAGAAAAATGCCTAATTCAGATGCTTCCAATGTACTCCTCTCATAGTTAAGAGTGAACGACTGACCCTAAATTCCCTGAATTTTCCTATCGCCTAAAATAGTTCCCAAGTTCATACCTAGACACTGCTCCCACAGAGGCGTCTCCCAGCTGCCAGAACCCTGCTGGCTAGTGAAGAACTGTTTGCAGAAAAGACTCTCTAAGGAGGTCAAGTAAGCATGATAAAGTCTGTTCTTAGGAAAAGCCCAAGTAAACAAGAAACTACTTATTCTCTACATTCACTAGAAGAAAAGAAGGAAAAGACTCCTACTGGAGAAGTAAAAATAAATGTATGCCATTCAGATCATATGGACAGGAAAGACGGTAGATAACATAACCTGGCTGGAGGTGGTGACTGGGGGATGTCTCCAGCAACCCCTGGCACTGGCTGTGGGAAAGCTGGGAGAGAAGAAGGACAGGGAATCAGTAGGAGGAGCATACTACACTGGGGCATGGACACCCTGGCTTGTTCTAAGCCACTGGGACCACTGTGGGAGGTACGCCCCAGGGAGTAGTGGGGGGACAAAGATAACAGAAGTGTCTTACAGCACAGCAGTACTCCAGGGCATTTACTAAAAACAAGGCTAGGGAGTACCAAGCAACGGGACCTTGTTCTCTGATATTGAGCTGGAAAGAGTGAGGTGGATAAAAAATATGCCAGTTGTGGGTCAGGGCTGTTTTGTGGTGGAACCTGATATCCCTGAGCTGACGGTTCTTAGCTCATCTGGCCTCTCACTGATTCTGAGAGAGGAACAGGTGACTCATTCTGAAGAGCTAGAAAGGAGTTCTGAACAAAGAACCTAAGTGTTATTCATTATATCAAAATCTGCCTGACCGCTACCAATTATTTTGCCACTAAAGATGGCACCATCAAGGACGGGTTGTCTCTGACAGGGTTAAGCAATGGGGCTGCTGACAAACTACAGTTACATATTAACATGAGCAAATATCTCCAAAAAAAAAAAAGCTGGAAAACAATGATACAGATAAGAGGAAACTTGATAACTCTTAACTTCTAGGAATGTAACTAAATAGGAAGAATGGGAGAATAATTGCACAATTACAAAATATTGATCATTGCTGATAAAAAAATGTGGCTGAACAATTAGGTTGAATGGTCTCAACTATTAACTTATTCATCAAGCTCTGTGGGTCACAAATTTCTCATCTGTAAAATATACGAGATAATATCATCTCTAAACTCTTTAAACTCTGTGAAATAAGGTAATACAAGGAACAAAGAGAGGGCATTTATTGTCCAGCTAATTAATGCCTTGCTATTCAAAATGTGACTAGTCGGACAACCTCATAGGCATTACCTGGGAGCCTTTTAGAAATGCAGATGACAAGCTCCATCCCAGACCTGCTGCGTCTGCATTTAAACAACACTCCTGGGTCATGCGTGTATATGCTAATGTTTAAGAACCATTACAACAAGGCAATCTGCTGTTGAATGCTGAGTCAAGAATATATACACATCTTTTCAGCCCTGGGAACCAAACAAAGAAGTAACTTGAAACGTTAAATGAAAGGGTAACAATTAATGGTCAACTATGTCCTGGCCACTGAGGAGCTAGTGACCTTATGTGCTTTCTCATTTAAGTGGGAAAAGAAGAAAGAGAATATCACAGTCCGGTTCTCTTTATAACTGCCTTCCCTTAATTATTTTATTATTACTTTTACTGAACATCCATTATGCATCAGGCACTCTCACATGTATTTTGTTATTTATCTGAACCATAAACCTAAAAATTATCTTCCCTTTTTCATAGATGAGGACAGGAACGCTCATAGAAACTAAGTGACTTACATATTGTTACCAATTTAGGAAATTGAAACACTAGGATTTAAAAACAGGTCTTCTGCATCAGGAACCCTCCTTTTCCCACATGTATCATAAAGCCTCTCAATCAAACTCAAAAAAAATATCTTCCACTTGTTACAACCCTAATATACTAAAATTGTATTTTCAATTTGGAACTTTTCTACAGACTTTTAAGAAATAAGAAAAGATGCAGCAAACAAGGGCAACGAGATCATCACATAAAATTTGTGTCTTGCATTTTAAAGAAAAAAATTTTTAACAGGATGCAACAATAGGAGTTCTCGAGACCCAAAGATGGGGGGCAAAGGAAAGCCTTATTTTGACTTTGCTAACATGACAAGCTTCTTTTAAGAGGTATGACCCTTTAAAACATACAGTGTTTGAAAAGCATATAATTTATAAAAGGAAAATTCAGGTAAAAACAATAAATTCACAATTTATGATTAACTACAATCCACAGGACATGAAAAACTGAAGGCTGAGATTGTGCCAACAGGACTACAACCAAAGGAAACTATACAAATATTTTTCAGGGTCATTAG